GGATATCCAATCTTTTTAATTTTTCGTTTTTTTGGACATTCAATTTTTGAGAGAGAGAGAGAGGGAGAGAGAGGGAGAGGGAGAATGGAAAACCGGTAACATCTCTCTTGGATCGAGGGAGGGGGCACGAGTTACGTTTTACCACCACGCACGGATCACGGGAATAGGGGCGAAATTCCGCGGAAACGAGGCAACAGCCACTCGAACGTTAATTACGGTATCGTTCGGTTCGATCGAGGTCCTCGTGTCCTCGTATCTTTGCGGGAGGGGAGGGGAGGTTTGCCGGTATTCGCGCGCAGCCAGAACGGAAATGATGGTCGAGCAACGGCCCCCTGTTTTCCCATTTGTCCGTAAACGATCGTCCGCCTACGTGAATTGAAAGCGTTCGACGAACCGCGACGCCTTCGCGATAATCGGTTTATCATCTCCTCTTCTCTCTCTCTCTCTTTCTCTCGCGCGCGACAAAACGTGTGTATATATATATATCTCGTCCGATTCGGCTTAAGGAGGAATGGTGGTTAGAGGAGTTCTCTCGTCGGGGCTTAAAGAGATCGGAGGGGGGGAGGGGACGGCGCCTCCTTGATCCCCGGAAATCCACGAAAAAGTCCCCCGCAGAGCCATAACTTTTATCCTCGGATCGCGCCTTCCTACTTTTCGGATCTGATCCCGAGATACAGCGGAGTGCGGACCACCACCGTCTTACGTTCGTTAAAGGGAGGGGATGCGGACCAAATCTCCCGTTTTTCCTCTTAATCGCGCGCTTCTTCTTCTTCTTCTTCTTCCTTGGCAAGCAGATCGATCAAGTCTTACGAATTATTGCACCGAGACGAGGTGCAAGATTATTATTCTATTTATTCTCCTAATCGCGAGAGCAATCCATGGACCGATCAAACACCCTCCTCGACCCTTGCGTTCTTACATCCCCCTTAGGTAGAAACGTTAGAAAACGTGAAAATGTTCCCCACTGCAGACCACGGTTCCCGATGAAGATAATATTTTCTTAAATTCCCCCTCTCCGTATCAAGTTAATTACTCCCCTCGAAACAACCCTCCAATAATTCTATTCGATACTTTGTCGTGGCTCAATTGCAAGAGCATAAACTTTCCCCTCCAAAATTCTCCTCCACAGAGCGGATATGCTCTCCGTACACACTCGAACATTTTTATTTCTCGAAAAACAGTCAACATACGTACGATTGACGACACACGTATTACACGCATATACCATTACGCGGGTACACGTTTCAACGATTGCTCAAACAATCGCCCAGTCTCGTACATGATTGCTGCGTGTCGCTATTACGCGAACAACCGTACACCTCGTGTTCCCTATTGCTGA